GGCCGCCGCGGCTGCCGCTGCCGCCGCCAGCCCGAGGCGCATCTGGCCGTTGAGCGGGTGCGGGTGGCCGCCAGGGGCCCCCGGAGTGTCGTGCAGCGCAGGGAAGAGCGTTGGGCCCCCGCCGCCTCCGCCGTCCGGGCCCGCGTAGGTGCCGCTGGCAGAGATGAACATGCCGGCGGAGTGGGGAGGCGGGGCCGGGTGCTGGGGGGAGTCGGTGCCGGACCGCTGCTCCCCTCCGAGCGGGGCCCCGTGCATGGCCGCCGCGGGGGCCGTGGCGGAAAGGTCCCTCCGGAGGACGAAGTCCCTGCTGTGGCCTTTGCCGCTGCTGCCGCCGCCGCCACTGTTGGTGGTGGTGTAGTCCGAGAGGGCAAGAGGAGGGGGAGAAGGGGAGGGAGGAAGAGGAGGGGCTGGGGGCGGGGGCGGAGAGGGCTGCGCGCAGCTGCTGCCCCCGCTGTCGGGGTAGGTGCCCGCGCCGGTGTGTGCGACCGTGGCTGCAGCGCTGGCGGCGGCCGCGGGGGCCTCGGACTGCGCCGGGAGCGCCTGGGAGGGAGGGCTGAGGCTGAGCGCGCTCGCCTGGGCCATGTGCTCGGGCCGGAGCGGAGAGATAGCCACGCCGGGGTCAGTGCCCAGGTCCCGCGGGTGGAGGTGCGCGGCGGTGCCGCGGAGTTGGGAGTGGGCGGGCGGGCTCCCCAGCGCCGGGAAGCCTGTCATATTCTGAAGCGGCTGGGCCTTAGCCGTTGCCAAATCCGCTAATCTCAGCTCTGGCGGGTTCCTCTTGCTCAAAGGGGGCTCCATCAGAACTACATAATCAGGCCGATAGACCCTCGCTGGGGGGACTTTTTTCCCTATGTCCGCCTTCAAAAACATGTATATATTAAGCGCTCTTTAACTTATTTTGTCCTGGCTTCCTAACTCTGCTTATTCCTGTTCCCACTCTGTCCTCCAGCGATTGGCAGTGCGAACACCACATTTGAGCTGCACAGTGGGACCGAGATTTTGGAAATGGCACGGGTGGGATTGGAGGGAGCAGCGTGATTGGCAGCAGCCGCGGCTGCCGGATTGGCTCCCTTTCAGGCCCTCGGCCCAGCGGGAGATCGCCCCCGTGCTCAGGCGGCCTTCGCTTTCGCTTCGCGCTCCCTCCTCCCCCCAGAGCCCCGCGTCCCCGCCTCCCCGGGATGCCCAAGTTGCACTTGCAGAAAGTTTGAGCTGGGCCTGCGCGCGCAGAGACCCGCGCTCCCATGACGCGCGTCGCGGAGAGCGTGCGCCGGCACGCGGCCAGAGGACGCGGGGCAGTTAGAAGCTGGGGACCCTTGAGGGCCAAAGGGCGAGGAGGGGGTCTCTCAATTTCAAAACCCTCGGCTTCACTGCTCACTGTGTCTCTTCCAGCACCCAAACACTTTCCACCCTCACCCTCTTCTGCCCTGGAAGAACCATGGGCTACCCTCCGTGGGAAGATGGTGAACAGATGTACGCAGTCATCATACCTGTAGTGGTGATGCTGTTGCTGTTAGGTGTCTTGGAATCGGTACCGACTCATAGCGACCGAGTGCACAACAGAACGAAACACTGCCCGGTCCTGTGCGGTTCTCTTGCGCCATCCTCACAATCGTAACAATGTTTAAGCCCATTGTTGCAGCCACTGTGTTAATACTAGAAACTACTTATTTGGGAAGGAGACCCAATCTGCCCAGCGCTCACGTAGGGCGACAAACAGAAGACATAATGACGAAGGATATTAAGATCCTATTGGTTGTAAAGCAACTTGAGTGATTTGGCTCCACAAAACACCAGGTGAAGTCAAAATAAATCTTTCCCATTTTACCTCCACTTTTTAGCTCATGGAACCCTTTTCAACATGGTTCAAAGGAGTTGGCTAGAAGTGTAATCTCACTGCTCATCGGTTCCTGATCTGCCACTTTCAATTAGATCTGCCGTGGGGGGAAAGGGGGGGCATCGGGCAGCAATTCTGACTTTTGCCTTTCCGAGATACAGTGGCAGGACAGGGCAAACAGCAACTCTCCAGACAGAATCAGCTAAATAAGCAATGTCTTTCAAGCAGAATTTCTCCTTTTGGTTCAAAACACACTCCACATTAATGCCTCAGGTTTGGTTTTTTTTTTGAGAGGACCACAGATTAGAATTGATCCAATAAAATAATTATTTTAAAATAAAAAATATATTCGCTAGTAATTTGCTAATGGAATAATCTTTTATCTTCTTATCCTTTTCTAATATACCAGTCTACCTGAAGAGCAAACCATACTTGAAAATCATAAAAACAGGATTTTTCTTTTTCCTCTAGTCCCATCTCCTTCAAATGGTTTGCTATTATATCAGTTTTTTTTTTAAAATGGAAATAGATCCCTGTGTCATTTTTGGAGGGTGGACAAATGTGGCAACCCCCCCCCCGAAAAGTTTAGGGTTTTTACTGTCCAAATTTGTCACTTCAGTTTTTAAAAAGAAAGTATTTTTTAAATTTTATGAAGTTCCAAAATGCTCACAAATTAAAGTAAGGAATTTTTTTTTTTCCTTTTAGCGTTTTGCTGCCCTCCATAACGTTTTTTTTCTTTTTAAAGTGATAATGACTAGATTCTGGTTTTTTTTGTTTGTCTTCTTTCGGGATACAGTAAAACATGTTACCAACTTAATTTGCTTGCTGTCCAAGTAAAAATAGACTGCACAAAGCCATCATCTGGGAGATGGTCCTGGGAAGTAGTGAGAAATATTTTCAAAAGAGTTGATTCGATAGCACCATTTACATTGATGTGAACAATGTTTAACAGGGAGCTTCTCTGGGATCCTCGGGAACATCATTTCTCTTATAAAACTGACAAGCAAACAAAGAAAGTCCTACAATCAAATTTCAAACGGGCTTTTTCTTTAAGCTTCAATTGAAGTTCAAATATGGAGAAACCAGAACATCAGGAGTGGCAACACAACAACAATTTTTAATAAACAACAGTGACAAAAGCCACAGTTACATTTGGAGAAAACAAGTCCTTTCACAATTTTCGTTTCAAAGACATAACATCTCAGGCCACTCAGGCAAAAGTTGAGTGAAGACTGTGCCATCTGTACGGATGCTTTATGAAGGATGGTTTATGTGGAATCGTCACCGCTGTCTTCATTCCTCACAACATCTCAAATGTGTTTCCTTTATTTGAATTTCTTGGCAATGAGTACCAATACTTGCATAATGGCAGCTTTGCGTTTAATCCTGCAGGTTATAAGTAAAAATCAAAAATGAATGAATAAAGAAAGAAGAAAATCAACACAATCCAGCCTTTAATGTGGACGGTTTAGTATTTTTATTAAATAGGAACCTCCACCCCCTTCAAAATAGCTTTTCCTCAAAATTATAACTGCTTTGTTTTACCGAATTGCTGGAGTTTAATGGTTTAATGGGTGAAGGCATGAAGGAAAGGCTGTAAAAATGTGAATAATGGTGCAGCAGAGCCATGCTGAATCTGGAACCCGCCTCCTTGTACAACTCTTGTTAAACACAGCGTGATATGTATCTGTCATCGATTTAATATGTCTTAATTCAAATATAGCTCCCTGATCAATTTCTTTTTATGGAAACCTTTTTAGAAAGAAAAGACTTTCTTAGGAAATAATAGAGATTTGGGTAGGATTGGGAAAATGTATGTTTACAAAGTGAGTTTAGTGAATATTTGCAAATTTATGACCAAACCCAGACCCTAAAAAGATAATTGACTCAAGTAAGTCGACTTGAGATGCTAATTCTTAAAAGAAAGGACTGGGAGCAAAATTGCAATCAACACCAATAAGGCGCCAATAAACTGCATGCCAATTAAACCTGAGAATGGGCCTAGCTAGATGGTCATCAGGAAGGCTCGCCATGGATTTCCGGGATTGCCTTTCTTTATAAAAGAGCTTTTTATTTTGTAGACGCGCTTTTTGTTATTGTGATGACCCGCCTGACCCCAGGTGCGCTGTTTCTTTTTCAAGCTGTTTGAGAGTCAAATCAAACCCCCTTAACATCCCCAGTTTCTAAGAACCAATAACTGTGTCACACTTCCTAAATAAACACCAACAATTTCCAGGGCGTAGAAGAAAAGAATACTAATAGTAGTAAAAACAGAAGCTCTAGAGATCGTTATGCCAGTTCTCTTTCTGTGGATTTAGCCCCATGTTCCAACCGTGGTGCTGGCGGTCAGAGCCCATCGCCAAAATTTACGCCCCAGTCTGTGCTTTCGCAGGGGAGGTGCTTGTGGGAGGCGCAGCAACAGTATAAGGTGTGGAAATACCCTTTGTGGGGTCAACAGGGGCTCTTGGTGGATCGATTTCCAGACGTCTCGATTGCACCCGAACCCTAACCTCCTTCCAGCCTCAAACAAAGGCTCAAGGAGGCTGGGGAAGTGAGAGGAACAGTAAGCGCCGAGCTGGCCCGAACCCGGCAGTTACGCCGCCCTTAGCTGCCTAGAGGCCACGGGACTCGGTTTCTGGGGATGCGGGGCCGGCGCTTACGGGTCCCCGCTGAGCGGGGGGGGGGGGGAGGGGCTGAGGCTCCAAGGGTCCCCGGTGCCCTCCGTTCATCACTGAACACAGCCAAGTTTCCTTGCGATGGGTGTGGGCAATTAATAAACTTTAAGGGAAGTGAATTGGATATTTCCTGGCTTTTGAGCCTTTGATTGTTTCTGCAGGCGGGGGGAGGGGGAAGCCCTGGAATGGTGGGGTGGAAAAGAAAGGAACTGGGGGACACAACGGGCTGCCTTTGATAGCCCCTGCAGTTGCTTTATGACTCGCCCGTCCCGCGTGGTTCTCCGAGGGCGGCCTCCGTACAGAAGAGCTGGGTGCCCGGCGGACTCGAGGCGCCTAGTGCTCTTTGGGCTGCCAGGTAGGCAGGTTCAAGGGCGAATGGGGCGCCCTAAGTTACCGGAGGGACCGAAGGACCATTAAAGCCCAGCTCAAGAGGGCCAATGGGTGCTTGAGAAGGAGTGGGGTACTGCTAGCAGACATTGGGAAGGCGGTGGCGGTCAACTCAGACCTCTCTAAAGCCAGGGCGAGGTGGGCAAAGGGGTCCGCAAAGCTGCATTTTAATCGAGCTTTGTCATGGCCGGAAGTGGTGGGGACTTTGGGTTCAAGATCCAAAAGCCCGTTCAAATTAGGCTCGCCAGGCGTCTAAGCATCTGAGGTTCGGGGCCGCCTGGGCTGCCTCTCCCGGAGGTCTGCCCTGCTAGCACTTGGCGGGGACCAGATTCTCCGTCCTCCCGCCTACACCAGTCGCAATCTGACCTGCCGGCGGGCTGCGGCCGAGCCCACGGGCCTTGGGTGCTCCCAAGCGCCCCACAGTTCGCAGCCCTCTGAGCTTCTCCTCGAGGGTCGCCTCTCTTCCCGGTTCTTCTGAGCTCGCACTGAATCCTCAGGCTCCACGGATGCGTGTGGGGCCAAGAGTAATCAAAAATGTGCTTCTTGCTGAAGTTTGTGATCCCTGACACATGGACATGGACTTAATACGAATAAGAAAGCAGAAGATGGAGGCCGGGTGGCCACGACAGAGACATTGGATTGTGGACAGTTGTTGTTGTTAGATAGTAAAGAATTGGACTCATCCCATGTCCACTTCCACCCTAGTGGTCGACAGCCTGTTGAAAAATTATCATTCTCTCCACTTCCCCACTAAGGAATAAGTTGAGTAAAATGAGCCGGTCAGCAAATACTCCCATTTGTTTATCACTCATTTTTTACCTTTAGAAATTGGGGATTGTTGGAGAAAGGCCCCTGAACTACACTGACCATTAGGACTGGTAATTTCATGGGACCCTCATCACTGTTATGCTTTAAAATATGCTCAGAACATGAAAACAAGAACCACCAAACTCCCCTTACATGTTCCTGGCTCA